AAAAAAAAAAGACACAGAGCCAAAAGACTACAGAAAGAAATAATACTTTTATGTTAAAATATATGTTAGGAAAATTCTCTTTTTATAAACATTTCTTTGTGTTACTAGTTAGTAACTCCAAATCTTTTTTGACATAATCTCACATTTTCTCTTTTAAGAAAATAACATTTATTTTAGAATTTATAAGCTAAATGAAGTCTATTCATTGATCTAAAAATGTGTTGCATCGTTTTAAAGAAAATTCTAAATTACTGAATTTCATGAAAGCAACCATGCTCACAAATACTGAAAACCTGGGTGAGATATAATTTTAAAACATGCTACAAAAATTATAGCTAGTAATGAGTTAATGAGTCTTCTTCCCCAGAGGCTTACTTATAAAGTGACCAAGTAATCCTGTCAGAACTGTACATAAATCACCCCTCAGACAGCTTCACTATTTAAAAAGCAAAACACATAAAAGCCGTAGACTGTTTAAAATTCACTTGTCCTAAAAAAAAAATTAATCAACATCTATCTGCTTCATTGCACAGATGGAAGATAAATTTTCTTTGAAATATCTTTAAAACCTAAACAACTTTTTTCTTTTTAAAAGAACCTAATCTACTAACACTATATAATTTTTCCATGCAAAAGGCTAACTATATTTAGCACTGTAAACTTTTCATTCTTATTATAGTCTTCCAATGGAATCTGAAGCAAAATAGTATAGTGAATACATGAATTTTGAAGATTTTTTTTAAGTACAGTAAAATCCATTAGAGAAAATAATAATTGCACTTTCGCTTCTCCATATTGGTCCTTACAACAAAATGTGAGATAGACATTACCATCCCCATTCTACAGAGGAGGAAGCTACAGTTGAAAGAACCCAATATGACTTGGCCAAGTGACAGAGTCATGTATTATGATTCTAAGTCCAATACATTTTTCACAACACAATTTAGACAGTGAGTCAATTCGTGCTCCCCAAAATATACCCCATTCAAGTTTAAATTATAAAATTAATGTTAAGTCTAACTCATAACATAATTATCATCTGCATAGGCAAAATTCTTTCCTTCCAAATGTCCAGTCCTGTTTTGATTTTTTTTCACCAACTCTTCTCTCAACATATTTTCTTACAGAGTCAATTTCCCTGTATTAAGCTCCATTATTCACTTGTTACTTGCCCAGATAATGAGAATGAATGCAAAAAAATTGTATTTTTGTTTAATGCTTGATAGCTTACGAAGTGGTTTCAGGGTTCTCATCTCATTTGTTCCTCAAAACAGCTTGGTGAGAAAACAAACTGTACTACTTGTAGCTCTCCAACATCTCGTATTTTGGGTCCTTACATATTCCCATGCCTTCTGCATATCTAGCTCTCAAAACGCAATGTCAGTAAGCCCTCTGCCATGTGAAATGCTCCTTAGAATCCTTAAAGACCAAGCTAAAAAGCTATATCTTCCACAAAAGCCTTTCCTGAGTTACTAGGCAATAAGGTAGGAACACTTCCACCTTGGTCTTGACCCAACCCTGTATTACAACACTTACCAAACAAAAACGAAAACAAACAATCACTAAGGTGCTTACTAAATGCCAGAAACTAAGTCTAAGCATGTTAACATCTATTAATTTCTTTAATACTCACATCAATCCTTAGAGGCAAAGGGGCATATTAGCATTTCTTAGCAGAAGAGGAAAGAGACTTTGTGAGGTTGAGTGTCACAGCCAGTCAGTGACACAGCTGAGATTTAAACATGACTTTGACTACTGTACTATACCATTCAGATCAATATACCACTTTGCAATACAGTGGGAATACAAGGCAATAGAACTCTTCCCACATCTGGCCTCACTTTGGCCTATGAGCACCGTAATACTGGGACTGTAGGAAAGGGGAGAGCCATGAAGGATGGAAAAGGGTGAGAAGTGAGACAAAAAATACCCCAGTCTCTTAAAATCACCTATATTGTATTAGTACCTTACATAAGTATATGATTGTGCTCAGAATGTATATGGAAATAATTAATTAAATCGAGCTGCAGAATTTTGCTTAAACGTCAGAATATGATTCTTATTAAAAACTAAAAGCAGAAGTTTCTTCAATATTCCCCTTTTGCTTTTAAATTTTCAAAGCCAATAGTTACAAAACACTGGTTTAATTCTGAAAAGCTTGACAGTAGCACAAAAACAATTATTTTTTCCATCCACTACATATTATAATGTTACTTATCTACCTGGATGCTGCCTAAGACCCACAAAAGCTATCCAAGACATTTTATGTAATAACCTTCAAAAGACCATATATAGAGATTTCCAAATTCAAAACACTTGGATATCACCACTGTCAACAATTATGGTTTGCCAAGAACATGGGGTAAGGAGGGGTGGAGGAGGCAGATAGCAAGGATGGTAAGAAAAGGTAGGGGCACCTCTGTGCTTCTCTAACTGGTGAACAAAGCCCTAAAGCTAAAGAGGGAACTACTTTGAAAACAAATTGTGAAGTCTTATATAAGAATTATTAAGATTAGTAGAAGATCCTATTCCCTAATCAAAAACATTCTAATTTTACCACACTAAATCATCTTGATTCCATGTATTAAAAAAATAGCCA